CTTACTCCAAGAGTAATTATTGCCTTAACCCGAGGCTAATTACTCTTCCGTTTAAAATTCAAAAATGATTTTTATTTATTTTTATGTGCGGCAAAGCTGCCTAATTATAAATGCGTAGATTTTCCTAAATAAATAGTAGAATCTAAAGACATGCATAACTACTGGCTACCTAGCTACATACCGTATTCTTTTTTGGGTGCAGTGACACCATGCCCATCTCGTGTGACACACAACCCTGTTACCAGGGTACGTGTAACCCCGTTACAGGTGACATCGAGTACAAAGGGTTGCCGTACACTTTGCACAGCAGAAGCTTCGACCTAACGAGCCTGTTTGAACAAAGCACATACGTTGGACTCGTCGCTACAACCGAGAGTCGTTAACGTAAGAGAAATATATATCAAGAGTTTCATACAGTGATATATACTTACTATAAGTTCTATTCAGACTAGAACGTTTCACGATTCCTCAAACTTATTCTTTATAAGCTTCCGAGTCCTTTATACTTATGAACATTCATCAGCTCACTCACAATACTGTATCCGATACAATCGTAGCATGTAAGTACAAACGGAGTACGTACATACCCGTCCATGTAATGTATGTGTACACAAAAGTACAGTACGCACCCTGTTGCAATCATGGTACTTCACAATGGTACTTCACCATATTACCTTGTTGACAGAAGTCAAGGTTTTTGTGCACCATATGCCTGTTTCACACCCAGCTACACATCTTGATTTGTTTCTTGAGATTTGTTAAACATTACTCGCTAACATAGGCGTCGTTTGTCATCCGACGATCACCGACAACTACGGTGTTGCGATTAATGAAGTTGGGGCATCAACAGTTCTTCATGGTCTCATATTTTGCTATATGCATTCTAGTTGATCCGCAGGAGTAAGAAATGACCCAATTGGATAATCAGACTTTTGTAAAGAGGACAGCATTTACAGTATATTTTACCGCAACCCACATGCCCCTGTACCACGCATTTGATGTGTACACAATCGTATTATAAAAAGACGCAGGTTTTCTCTAAACTGATAAATGGAGATTTGTCAGATTTAAAGTTGACGTCAAGTTCTAATTAAACGTTGAGTTTTATGTCAACATCATATTTGCTGTCTTGTCCATCTACGAACTCGCGTCGTATCGAGAACTGGGTCACTTTTGAGTCTTGTGAAGAGCAGATTGCTCTGGCTTTTTAGAGGGTGCTAATCTTTAAGGAAAGCAATCAGCTTTGATTTTTCAGATTAAAATTAAATTCTAAATAAAACTATTTATTACTTACTAAAAATGCTACTTTAAACACACAGCTATAGTTCTGCATGGTTACAGCTCGATTTGAGCCCTTTGTTTGAAATGCAACAGTTTAGCGTTACAAGTAATCTGGAACTCTGCGATTTAGCGAGGGGCTAAAAAACCGTCTGGCTTAATGTCTTTTTTTTTCTTCTCTTGCATTAACTATGGTCCGGCAATTCTCTATTATTTTCTAAATCGTGCCTCAAAACTCCCTCTTAAGTCAAAGACGACACATCCTCGGCGCTCTCCAAGTGTGTCGCTCTCGTGTTGCTTGCCGCTTTAACTCTCTCCTTCGGGAGCCCCAGTGGCGCGTATGCGGGACTCGCATTCTTCTGTACACTCCAAGTCAGTCATGCGTTCACCGCTTACTCAAGACGAACAAAGTCTCACTCCTAGTGCTTCGTCCTCGTACTTTATTGAGGGTCCATGGGAGCAACGTAATCGTCGTTTTCAAAACGTACTTCTTCACGTCTGTAGCTTTATCCTTATCCTCGAATTTGCGGAGCGTGTGAGTTATTATGGTATTAATCAAGGTCTGAAGAATTTCTTAGGTCTGCTTGGTTGGTCTCAAGTTGGTTCGAATTCTCTTAAAAGCACTTGGACTTCTATCTGTTATTTATCACCTTTATTAGGTGGGTACGTGGCTGATGAAAAATGGGGACGATTTAAGACATTATGGGTCTTTGGTGTTTGGTATACATTTGGTGCTTTTCTTGTCACTGTCTCGGCACACCCAAAATTTATGGATCCGGAAAATGGAAATCATCTTGTTGCGAATTTATTATGCCACATTGGACTCTTTGTTGGTGTTGCAGTGGGTACTGGAGCCATAAAAGCAAATGTTATCACTTTTGGTGCTGATCAATTTGACCCAAATGATCCAAACGAAGTAACGCAAAAGGAGCATTTCTTTAGCTATTTCTACATTGTTATCAATTTGGGAGCAATTTTTTCATATGGGTATCTATCAATCCTTTGTGTCAAAGGTTCAGGAGCCATTTCCGAGGAATATGGGTATTTTGCTTGTTTTTTCATCTGTGGTGGAGTGATGGTCTTGGCATATATCCTATTTCTACTTGGTGCTCCTCGATATGTACACTTTGCACCACAAGATAGTGCACTCACAAAATTATGTACGATCGTTAAAGGAAATTGTGCGTTCAGTTATGAAGCTCGTATGTTGTATTATGGATTACTTGCTTTTGGCTTAGCATTTCCGTTAAATCTTCTTGCGTCTTTCTGGTCCGACTGGCTCTCTATGGGTCAATATTTGTCGTACCTTGTCATTCTATGTTGTGCTTTTGGAATGTACTCCTGGATTCGATATGGCATGACAACTGCATACATGGACAAATCGAAAGCATCAAATGGTGGGAAATATAACGATGAGACTGTTGATGAGATCAAAATGGTCATTCGTGTCTTACCTTTTGCGTCATTTATGATCATGTGGGAATGTGCATACGACCAACTTGATGCGAATTTTCAATCTATTGCTCAACAATGTGATCTTCGTATTGGTGCTAACAATTCGTCGGATTATCAAGCTCTTCAAGTTCCTGGTGCTAGTTTAGGTATTTTTGATCCCTTGACTATCATTTTGCTTATCCCAGTCCTTGATGGATTTGTATATCCATTATGGGGTCGCATCTTTGGACAACCACCAAGTGCATTTGGAAAAGTACTCACGGGATTGATTGTCGCAATGTTAACAATGTTTTGGTCGGGATTCTTTGAAGTTCTTCGACGACATAGTGGTGAAATTATGTACCAAGATGAAAATCGTTTTGTTCAAACCATTCCGAATTCTGGGTCTGATCAACCTATGAATCACATGTATTGGGCATACGCTATTCCAATGTATGTACTCACGGCAATAGCGGAATGTCTGATTAATGTAACAGCTTATGAGCTGTTTTACACAGAAGTACCTGTGTATCTCAAAAGCACTTGTCAAGCAATCAATTTATTTATGGTTGCAATGGGGAGTAATCTCACGTCAACGTTTACTTTGCTTTTTGAACAATATATTCCTGATAATCTTAATGATGGACACTTTGAGTACATGTATTGGACACTTGGGGCGTTAAGTCTTCTCAACATTTGTGCGTATGTGACAGTCATGAAGTCGATGGAATTTGGTATGAAACGCTTTGATGCTGACGACGAATTGCTAGATGGCGCCGTTTTTGATAGTCATGGGATGGATATATCAAGTATTCATCGACATTCATCCTTTGAAAGTATATCCTTGTCACGAGGGTGAATTCATGTTATCATAGCAATCTGTTCATATTTGAGGTTTATGGGAGTTAAAATAAAACGCGACGTTTTTTTATCGGTATTCTGTTGTCTTGGACAAATTTAGTCGTTGTGGACCATGAACAAGAAAGCGCGAGGACAGAAAGCCCATCATGGAATACAACTACGCTCATTGTCTTTAATGAAACGACATAGTAGTGTTGTGCTTACTTCTCTATTAAAGACTACAAGCGATTTTGCTTACAAAGAAATTCCACGTGAAGTACTTGATGGAACGGATATTGATCTGTCGGTAAGCTACTTTTCAGAGCATGTGGTCATTACTTGTTAAATGTTTCGTTGTACTTACGCTCGATAGATCTGGTCAGTTGTAGCATCAGATGCGTCTTTAATGACCTCACTTCGTCTACGTCAACATCTTGGAATGCAATCAAACCAGTATTTGGATTCACTTGGTAGATTAACAATACCGAAACCAGAGCCTGTTGTTCGCATTAATCTTCCTGAAGCAGAACACGTATGAGCACTTATAGTACAAACAAACTAAAGTCATTGATGTCGGCTTACAAATTCCTTTTAACTTCCATTAGATTACGGATAAAACGGCACATTTAATCGCAGCGACTTGTCCAGAACTCAAGCATCTGAACTTGGAGCGAGCTAAAAGTGTGAGTACTGAAGGTATTGAAAGATCTTGAAACTGAATGTGTTACTTTTAGTTGACAGAGTTTGGAATTTCTCAAATCCTGAAAAGCTGCAAGAATCTTGAGTCACTAAATCTAAATTACGTTATCGCACTTGAACATCGCGCTCTTTGCTGCATTCAACATCTACGACTTTCATTACGGTGTAAGTTGTGAAATTATACGAGATGGAGACTTGTTAATTTTCAAATTCTTGCTGATAGCACTTTCGATTGCCGGTTGCTTTCGAGCCCCAGAGCTTTCGTTAATGCGTGTCTTTCACTCTTGCGTCTTACTCGAGTACGTTGATCTCTCGTATTGTGCCAACGTGACAGACTCGATTCTACTGGCATTAAGCCAGAGATGCAGAAAGCTGCAGTACCTAAAGCTTCGAGGCTGCCGTCAGATATCTGATAATGGAGTTGTAGCACTTGCTAATTCAGGAGAAGGAATTCAATTACTTCATCTCGATTTAACGCGCTCTGACTTACCTTACAAAATCAATGATATCTCGCTTTTTGCTGTGGCACAAAAGTATCAACTACTTCAGACTTTGAGTCTTTCAGGATGTAATATGATCACTGACGTTGGAATCAATTACTTAGCGTCTGGTTGCAATGTATTGACCGATTTGGATGTTTCAGGCTGCAATGCTCTGACAAATTGTTCTCTTCGTATTCTCAGCGAATCCATGTCGCTGCTTCAGCATTTAAAAATACGACAATGCTCTCAGATATCAAATCGAGGTATTCGATATCTGTCCTCGGGCTGTCTAAAGCTCATTTCTCTTCATGCAGAAGATCTGCCATTGCTCTCAGATGCTTCTAGTCACGATGTTAACGACAAAGATCGACAAGGTATTGCTGCATTAGTCTCGAAATGTCATGCCTTGCGTAATCTTGATCTCTCGGGTTGTACTGCGATTGCTGATGGCACGCTGCATTGTATCGCTACTATGTGCTCAGCCCTCACAATTCTTACTCTCTCCGGTTGTTTTCAAGTTACATCTTGTGGAATAACTGCCATCCTAATGCATTGTATCCACTTGACATCACTTGATTTATCAAAATGTACTCAAGTGACGGATGAAGCATTTCTCGATACTTTACGGACTCATCAAGATCTTTCAAATTCAATGAAGACGAGTTTATTAGCAAAGCAACTGGTTGTTCTTCGTTTGAATGACACGAAGATTTCTGATGTCACAGTTGAATGGATCAGTCGACATTCGCCACTGCTTCGCGAGCTCGATGTCTCAAACTGTCAAGATATTACGGATATGGGTCTTTTGGCGCTTCGGATGTCAATTAAACTACAGAATCTATGGCTTCGAAATGTTGTAAAAATTACTGCAACGGGTCTGTCGTGGCTAGCCGAAACGTGTTTAAAACTCATGTTCTTAGACGTGACGGGATGCTTGAAAATCTATGCATTCTCCTTACAATCGCTTGCATCAGCATGGAAGTTTGCAGTGTATACGAACAATAACCATTTTCATGGTATGCTTCCTCTTCCTCGAGCTAATGACTGGATTTTCATACAAGAATATGGACAAACTTGGCAAGCTGCGATTCGTATTCAATCTTTGTATAAAGGTTATCAAGCACGTCAACGTGTACGACATTTACGCGAAGAACGGCTGGTTGTGTGGAGGATTATACGCTTGCAGAGTATTGGTCGAGGTCGTCAAGCTCGAAAAGCTGCAACTCTCTTGCGTCTTGAAAGGCAAAAGAAGGATGAGGCGGCAAAACTCATTCAAAACGCATTTTCCAAATTTCTTAAACGACGTCAAGCCACGCGATTGTGCGAAATGGCTCACCAACAAGCATTCGTACGAGGTGGTAGAAGCATTTATGCAGCATGGCGAAAGAAACGCTTGCGAGAGCGACTTTCAATTCGAGAGAATTGTCGTTTATCTTATGAAAAGGCACTATGCCAGAAGGTTGTTAAAATTCAACGAATCTGGCGAGGCAGTAAAGAGCGAAGACGAGCGATTGAAGCTAAAATTTCAAAAGCTAAGGCAGCGACGATATTGCAATGCAGGTTTCGGGTGTATGCAGCTTGTCGAGTTGTTGAGTCTCGACGTAATATATTTCAACAAGACGAAAAGCGACGAGAGTGTGCAGCGAGAGTGATCCAACGACAAATGCAAAGACATCGAAGAAACCGCGAATTTCTAATGATATATCAAATGATAGTGAAAGTGAACGATGCAGCCGTGAAGATTCAAAATTGGTGGTGTGCGAATCGAAAAGCTCAAGTGAGAAAGATTCTGGAGATGAAGCAAAGACAAGAATGGGAATTTGCTAGTGTGGTTAAGATTCAAACCTTGTGGAGACAACGAAAGGCGCAACATGAGATTCGAGTGAGACGTTTAGCGAAAGTATTGCACCAGCGTCGAATTGTTCAAGCAGCGTTGATTGTACAACGAGTTTGGCTTGGGCGGAAACAAAAAGCACGTTGCTTAAAAGAAATGAGATTAAAGAAGGAAAGCTACGATCAGGTGCGAAATGTCGCAGCGATACAATTACAAGCGTATTATCGTGGACAGAGAGGACGAGAATGGTATCGACAAGCTCAATTGGATGAGAAACGACAATGGAAACAAGTAATTCAGCTGGAAAGTCACGAGAAATTTTATTATGTACGTTTTTGGATAAGAAATAGTTTTGCTCGAAATGAACTCATTTGATATGATTGAAAGAATCGGAAAACTGGAGAAGTGCGAATCCGTCGACCTCAAGATGTTCTGGATTTATTGGAAAGACCTTCATGTGATAACTGTGGTACAATGTCGAAGAAATTTAAGATTGAGCATGCTTTCAAGAATTAATTTTGTCTGTTAATTGTAGATTCTGATCATATCGATGCGACGATAGAGTGTAAAGAGTGTCAGAACATGTATTGTGATGTGGTAAGTGATGATGAGATTATTCGTTTTGTATGGTGTAGTGACTTTGAAGTAGTGCTGGATAAATGTACACTCAGGTGGTCGACGGAAATTACATGAATTTCGTGCACTCTACGACTACTTGAAACAGCGTGTGGACTATGATGTTCATGAATTTCCGTCTTGTTGGTCTTCGGAAATTGAACAGAACGAAATGGAGGGATGGAGTCTTCGTACATATCCACGTCGTCAGTATATTTATAAGCAAGAAGCTTGGGAGCAATATCTGGATCCAGATACTGGACGAAAATGGTATTTTAATCGCGAGACGAACGAAAATTCATACATTCCACCAAACGGATTTATGACTGGCGTTTTCTAAATGATTACTTTTAAGTGTTTACGTGAGCAGAAAATGTCAAAATTCTGAAAACGAAAGTTTCGGATGTTGTAGAAAGTGATGTGTTAGCATACATAAGAAATACTAATTATATTCTTGATCTGGATACCAACCCCCGTAAACTGGCTTGTGAACACTGCATTGTTGATTCCCATCCGCCATCAATTCGAGACCATTCTACAATTCTCTACCACGGACCTCTTTATTCGTCGTAGTATACGATGAATTCAACGTCACATCGCCGTTCTGTCGAGAAGGAAGTACGTAACTCAACAACCCTCACACGCAATGATCCACCTGAACCAACAGCAAGTCCACGATGCAGTTTCTTTCGATGTAAACGTATGTCTGATAGAGGTTCTAAACTCTCTGTGACTTCAGCTAAAAGTCGTTCGTCATCAAGTAGTAGTGATAGTACTTCTCGTCAACCATCACTTCCCCATACAATTACAGAGCGACACGGCGGTCAAGAATTATGGGTGAAAGCACCTGTTGTTTCTGGCTCGCTGGAAAAGCGTGGCTTTCGTTGGCGTAAGAAATGGAAATTACGCTTTCTTGAATTAGATGGACGACAATTGGTGTACTATGAAGATTCTGGGGGATTCAGTGCTACTACAGCGACTACTAGTGGTACAAGAAAGAATCGAAAAGCCAAGAAGAAAGTGATGCTCACAGCTGATGCAAAACTTGAGGAAGTTGACGAAACAACAATAAGTATTATACCAGCGTTGAATGAACAGCCGTGGTTGCTTCGTGCAAAAGATGCTGCTACAAAACAACGTTGGCTTATTGCTCTTTCAGATTGTATTGACATTGTTGTGTGGTTACAACACTATAAACTAGGAGAAGTTGTGGGAGTTGGAGGCAATGGAGTCGTACAAAAACTTGAGGATGAACGGGATGGTACAATATATGCCATGAAAATTTTGGATGTCGCTAAATTTCGTCATCGAGAACAAGTTGTGGCTGAAGTGGACATTATGCGCAATATAACGAATAACATTAAACATCCGAATCTTGTCAAGATTCATAAAGTTTATGAAGAGCAGAGAAAAGTTTATATTATCCAAGAAATGTGTAACGGCGGCGAATTGTACGATCGGGTCGTCCAGCGTGGCAAATACTCAGAGACTGATGCGGCCAACATTATGCATCAACTCGTCTCGGCGTTGCATGCCCTACATTCGCATAACATTCTTCATCTTGACATCAAACCCGAGAATATTCTCTTTGCGAGTAAAGATCCTGACTCCAAGATTCTTCTCACAGACTTTGGACTTGCACGAATGATTAATGGCAAGCAAAATCCTTTGGATCAAGGACAATCAATGGCTGGTACAATTGGTTATATGGCCCCCGAAGTCATTTCATCGCACGCATACAGCGAAGCCGCCGATGTGTTTAGTGCCGGTGTTATCCTTTTTATTCTTTTAGTAGGGTATCCACCGTTCTATGGCGATTCGGAAGTTGAGATTCTACTTAAGGTTGCTCGAGGAGATTTCACGTTTGACCCGCACGATTGGCGTCACATTACCGAGTCGGTCAAGGAACTCGTGGCTCGAATGTTGGAAGTGCATGCTCAAAATCGAATTACACTTGATGAAGTGTTAGCGCATCCGTGGATCACGCGATCTGGTGTTGGTAGTGGCGACAACGACATAAAGGAGCGAGACCTTACTTCCAGCATGATGACGAGACTCCAACGATTTAATATTGATCGCAAGTCGAAGAATATGGGCACAATGGCCTTAATGCTTCTTGATGTTGATGAAGCTGATTTTCATGCTCTTATGGATGAAAAGGCGATTCAAGTAATGCTCCAAAAACTTTCAGTTGAAGGCCATGACCGCCTTCCACTAGAAAAAGCATCCGTTATTTTCAAGGGACTTGGTCTGTCACCTTATATCGATGAAGTGTTGTTCGTGCAGTTTCTAGACCGGGATCATGATGGGTATATCAATGCCTGTGACTTTTGTGAAGGCATTCGTGCCTTGCGAAATTATGACCCGTCGTTCGCAGCGATGGTGTTCTCGGCTATTCAGAAGATTTACTCGCTTGAGGACAAAAGTGCTGAACGTGAACAAATTAATGAGACGGCAGTGCTCACGCGTGATCATTTTCGTGTCGCGTTTAGTAAACTTAATTGTCCGGGCCCGCTCATTGAAGTATTTTTCAAGCACGTTGACGAGCAGCATCATGTCGAAGCATCCGACAACTTAACAACGTCTTGGTCGGTGAATGAAGCCGAGTTCGCGACACTGTTCTCCAACTTTTCTTTTCTTGGCATGCTGTTTTTAAGGACATGCCATGCCAGTGTTATGTCGATGGTCAAGTCAAACAGTGGTCCTGCCATGCAGCGTACCTCTGAGGTATCAGTTACCCAACCATAAACAGCAAAGCATATATGAATCCATCACGTTTCAAGCTTACAATTTATCTCTTTGTCATGTTTAACTACTCTTTTGCAAGCTTTTCCGTACACAGCTTAGCTGGCAACTCAAAGGGTGATGTCCGCTTGATGTCAGCATCAGGCTCTGCGTTAAGAACTCGGGCCATCCACGCTTTTATACGAGGTAAAGCGTACTTATACCCGACATCAATGATTTCTTCCATCTTGTTAAACTCTAGTGTCCCATAGTCTTTAACAGGAGGACGCAAGTACAAATCCACGCACTCTTCCTTGATTCGATCTTTATGCTGTTCCGAAGAGACATAAGCCAGCGCTGCGGACACGTCGCCCATTGAAGGAACCGCCACTGTCTTAGCAAATGGGTTCAATTTATTCCATAGTACCCACCATCCTGATAGTGTGCTACCGTAAGTGTAGAAGTTTGTAAGCGACTCACTCGCGACATCGACCGCGAAAATGTACTTAATCCCACTTTCTTCCTTCATGACATCCGCCGGAAGATTGTTCATGTATCCGCCATCGACTAACAACGATCCATTTTCCGATATTGGTGGAAAGTAGCCTTGCAGACTCATAGACGCGCGCACATATTTCCACACAGGTCCACTACGGTGTATGCTCATTCGCGACTTTGCAATATCCGTCGATACACAGAAAAAATTAAGCATGAGATCTTCGATTGACAAGTCATAGAAAAGTGCTCGGATGCTTTGATTAAAGCGTGTGCCATTGAAGAAAGAGGCAACCGGCAGGGTCAAATCTCGTAGCTTTTCATAATTACTGCTTAGACGTGTGGACAGCTGTCGCACCTTTACTTCTACAAGATCCAGATTGTCTGGATGCATGGCGTAGATCCCACCAATGAATGCACCGATGCTCGTCCCGCCAACGACATCAACGTGAATACCACACTCTTGAAGTGCACGCAGAACACCGATATGGGCCAGTCCTCTTGCACCACCACCACCTAGTACAAGACCAACTGCATTGCCGGTGATACGACGGCTTAAACGCATAAAATCTGCATGATGTTCTTCGAACGGGACTTGAACATTGTGAAAGCCACTGATCCACTCATACTTTTCCATTGGAAGAATAAATCGTGGCAAAAGTGGTCCGTCCATCTGCAAACGAAGTCTTTTTTTCAAAGCATATGAACGAGATGACCCTTTAACTTCTAGTTTTGCAGCGGCTTCGAGTGCCGTCAGCGTCCAGTCTTGTTCACGAATACGCACCACGTTGATTTCAGCGTCTCGTTTGTCCCATGCATCTTCTAAAATTGAAACCATGTCGCTAACAAATGCCTGTTGAGGTTGTGTGTCGGAACAGAGTAGTAGAATGTGATCTGCTTGTCGCAAACATAGCTTCGTCCACGCCGTTAAGTGTGGATCAGCTTCGTAAATCACTAATTCATTCATACTTTCCATATCGCCCATCCAAGCCGTCAAATTTGCGCGTGCAACACGCGAGCCACTAATCCATTGATCACCAAGAAATGCCTTTGCTTTTTGTGACGAAATAGTTTCAACTGCAGCAAAAGTTTTCAAAGATTGTTCCAAGTACGAACAAAACGTTTGGATTTTGGTCATTTTCGTAAGTGAGAGCACAGCCACAGTGCCAAGAGGCAGGCTGCTGCGAGTCTTTTGTCCATATATTGTCGTCGAGTTCGAGCCAAGCGATAAGAGATAGTTACTACGTGACTTGCCACCACTCGCGTCGACCTTCAATGCGTCCACACGAGAAGTTGGCAATCGACGAGCGAGATTTTTGGTAAAATGAATTAATACTGACGGATATTTGCTCACAACCCAATCAAAGACATTTCGTGACATTTGCGCGATCTGTGAGTCTCGAATGGCAAAGACCGACGAATTACTCGCACCAGTTGCAAGCATATCCATCGCACCTAATGTCGCACCTCGCACAAATTCGTTTGTAGTCTCAACTTCCTTGCCACGATGTGAATGCACTTGCACTGCACGTAATCGACCACTAATGACTGTAAATACAGAGTCACATCGATCTCCACGTTCAAAAAGACTCTCACCACTGTGCAAATGCAGCCAATCGAATGACGTGTCTGCCATACACACAAGATCGGAGTACTGTTCCAATAAGTGACTAGTGCAACGGACAGCAACAGAATGAAGTGGTAAGAGTTTAGAAATAAGGTTGTCAGGGATCCATAACAGAGTCGTATCTTCCAGACATACATTACGTGTTGCATGGTAATGTAAGCCCACAAAAGACGTTGAAAGCCCGATTTGACACCCTATTGTGCCCTGGTAAAGCTCGGTATATTCTTGTGGTTCAGTAGCAACTTGAACACTCACCGATCCATTAATCACAACAAACACGCCCAGTGCACTGATTTCTTGGTTTGACTCTCGCAGTGTCTGCTTGGCTGAGCGCTTAATCACCTTCACACTACTTGCCAGCTTCGATCGTAAGTCCGGGTCGTGTAATCCAATAGCATCTGCAATACAATCAATACCAATGTCTGGCGTCGTAGTCCCAAAGTGTTGTAATTTCTCGGGAGAGACAAGTGGAACCACTTGAATAATCTTCGACGACAGTCCAAAGTGATCAATTAACGATTTACTCGTGATCTTCTCCACTTGACTCAAAGCTGCCTGAGCTAAACGAAAGAATGCTTCTGGATACTTCGTGAGCACGTGCTGAATTGCTTTTATTGGAATTTTAATAAGTCGTGTATTCTCTTCTTCAGCCCGTGCAGATAAATTACTACAAACTTTTCGCATTGGTGCTACACACTTGCCCTGTTGTAACTCATTAACTAGAATAGTCAATAAAGGCAAGGATGATGTCAAGGTATCACCTCGTGTTAATACCTTTGGAAACCTCTGATCTTGCTTTTCACCATGAATTGTTAACGTTGCCGAGCCATTTACAATAATCCAAATCGATCCATCTAACTCGCCTTCGTTAAAAATACTTTCGCCTTTATTCAAGTGTATAATCTTAAGTTCTCGTGCAAGAGGTTCGACAAATTCACCACGTAAAAAAGAAAATACCTTGGAAAGTGTATCGTAAATGAATTTCAGATTTTCAGGCCCACACTTTTGCCGTACTTTTTGTGGAAATGTTATGTGATCGTCAACTTCGAAGAAATTTGTCTCTTGGATACGCATGCGTTCAGCTTCTACTAAATCAGAGAGAGATTTCGAATGTCTAGAATTATGGCGCAGTCGCTTTGATGTGGGCGATGGTGGTCGCTTGATGCTATTTAACGGTGTTTTGCGTGGCCGAATCTGACGTGATGCCACCCATAGGAACAATACACCGAGAGCGAGTGCGACTGCTACGAGTGTAGCCACACCACCTACTGCGTAAGGATTCTGCTCCTCAACATGTTCACGTACATCTGCGGCCAAACGTGTGGCATTCAGCTGCGTAAATGCGTTAACTTGTAGTCGAAGCCACGCCCAGAGATCGGAAATCGTGGATAATTCGGTCATCCACCTTAGTAGACTTAAATTTTAATCGAATTTGCCAGCTTTAACACTTAATAAGCAGCTGAATGGCTGGTTATGCTATAGGTGGTTCTAATAAGTGTCAAGAATTAAGCAGAATGACGTTCAGAATTGACAACTAAATCATAAAAAAAATATGGACAACGGCAATAAACTTGCTCACTATGACCGTCTGATTGCGGCGCTGAGTGAGGAAATGCTTGAATCCACTATCGACGTGCGCGATTTATCTTCTTCAGAGATAAAAAGTGACAAACAAAGAGTGGAATTGCTGACGGTAGCGACAGACAAGTGTGTGCGGTGCGTAGAACTGATAGCTAAGAGTTTGGAGGCATCAGGGAAATTGTGTAGACTACAAAAGACGCTAAAAAATGCATACGAGCGCAGTCAAGAAGAAAAGATTGATCAGGATGAAATCATGGAAGATGTTGAGAACGCAGAGGATGACGAAGCCACCACGTTGTTTTTGCAGGACCTTGTAACAGCTGGAGATGAAGCTGATGATGCCGTCAAGAATTATGCGCGTCTAGGTGTTGTACGTAAGACAGCGCAAGCGAGTCACAAGCTATTGACTGCAGCAGAGCGTGATTTGCATGAGCATCTCGCCAACAATCCGGATTTTGCTGAAGATGATGCTGTGCAGAACATGTTCCGTGAATTGTACATGGAGGAATTCACTGCTGTCTTTGGAGATGAGCTGGATCAATTTCGTCAAGAGGAACGTTTTGAGAGCAAGGATGTAAGTTATTTAATCTCCTGTATTCAAGCAGGTACCGACATCTTCTCGCCGCTACAAAAGAAGCTATTTGTTGAATCTATTAGGACTAATACATCAACGGTAAGAACCTCGGAGACATAGAGCGCACATAAAGCATAAAAATTAGCTGTAATCATATCGATCTGGTATAGCTTTACCCCATAATTACATGGTGCACTTTGCACTTGTTCGTTCAAGTTGCCGTCAGCAGCAGTATCCGTCTTAGCTTAAACACGGAAGCCTAAACAAAGAGCTTAATCTTGCGCTTCGCCCTCTTTTCAGTACTTTTTCCCTTCGTCGTTGCTAAAACGTGTGACTTGACAGTAGGGTAGTATGAATCTATCGGACGCTCTCGTAACTCTCGCTTTTGACGACGAGTTCGTCCAGCGTTCGCTTGAGCAAAAAAGTCAATAACCCATTCAATCATTCCCTCCCGACCTCCTTTTAATAATTCAATGCCTTTGCTAAAAAGAGGATCCACATCGATCCAGCTGTTAATATCGTTGCTTACCGACGATACCTGAGCTTCCACTTTATCATTTTTTACTTTCTTGTCTCCACCCGTAGAAGCTAGACGCCGATAAAAGTAACATTGGTGTCCTTCACTCGATCCAGCCATAGACGTTGCCACTCGCCCAATGTTTTCGACTGCAAACCCGTACATGTCCACCACTTTTCGTGGTGCATGAAAACTGGCATAATATTTAGCCGAGCTACGATTAAACATGAGAGCCATTTTGTCCATAACATCGGGTGGGAACCCGACGTCAAAACTATACACGTGAGAGAACGGTTCAAATGTATGCGCGTGGGTGATATCTCCTGCTGTAAATACCGTCGATACTGGCTTTAAACGCTGCGATTCGAGTGACAAAACGCTGCGGAGATTATGCAGAGAAAGATGCCAGCGTAGCTCTTCAAGCTCAATACCATACGATAGCTGCACACCAGGATCTACTGCAACGTGAAAATTGGGTTTACCCAGTCCCGAGCCCACATCAATAAAACGACTGCTCTCAGATAATTCGCAAAATTCCTTTAAATAGTCGACTACGCGCTGAAAAGAAGCTTGAGTTATCTCACCGTAAATGGCGCCACCGGCAGCATTACCACCTAGACTTCCCGTCTGTTTGCGAATTGCTTTGTACACTTCGGACACTTCATGCTCAGTGAATGTCCTTTCAACTTCACGCTCACGAATGTCAGCCAATGGTGTCACTTTACCAGGTGTCCCAATCGACAATCGCGCTCTTTTCTTGTTAGAAACTGGTGTAGCTGCATTACTTTTTAGTTTTGTATTTTGACTTTTGCGTTTACGGCTGTCGAAGGTCACATTCTCAGAGCTGACCGCATCTTCACCCACGGCTACAATTGGTGCCATAGGATATTTTTTCAAGCCGTCGCCGCGTAAGGGAGACAGAAATGGACCCACTGTGGGCTGCGGCGACCTTACCGCCATCAAAGCTCTTCGGGGTTATATCCCCGTTTTATTTTTAAAGCCCAGTGTGACAAACAAGCAACTATTAATAGCAGTAAAAAATTTATTTCTTTGTGGGGTACACACAAGTCGTAATCATTCTGTAAATAGCATCATTGCATCAACTTCGACGTACGTTGCGCACCTTCCTCTTTTCCAAATATGCGTCTTTCTAGCTCTCGTGCAATCATCCTCCACCCACTAGTAGCACCTGTGGGTGGTGCTCTTTCTCCCGAAGCGCGTATTGTTGCCGAGTGGCTACGCTCGTTAAGCCCTTGTAACGTTATTGCAGCGGAACCGCTAAGCCTTTTGGACTTCACGTGCGACGAGAATGTTCATGTGGTGCTTAGCTTCTTAGACGGCCCATCGCTATGCTCAGCACGCAGCGTTTGTCGCTCGTGGCACTCTATGAGCAATGATGATAATCTTTGGCTGAATTTGTGCCTTCAAGAGTTCCACGTGTCGCCGGAGCATCTCACTTCGCAGCCTGAGAGTTATCAAAAGCTTTATCAATTCGCTTGTCGCTCGCTTAAGACGCTACTTCGTGATTATCTGCACGAGCAATGCCTCATTAATTTGCAAAAATCATTGCGGATCCCACGAGCTGCCGCCATGACGCTTATCGAATCACGGGCGACCATGTGAATGCACAAACATGCAAAAGCTTCATACAAACTCGTACAAAAGAGAGGGTCATAATAATAATACAAATACAACAAATTCATCTAAAGTAAATAAGCATTTACTACTCTCGACATCCGAGGAATAGCAACCGTCGCAACAAGATAGCGGGACGCGACACAAAAGTATAACTCTTGTTCCGAATGCTAGCTTTGTAACTAGATTGTGCTTGAGAATGAAACGTTGATCGTTCTCTTCATAATTGAGCTTTGTGGACACCGTGAGACTGAGACGAAGTGGATCTCGTTCAAAAAGAAACTAAAATTTTAGCTGAATTGAAAGCTGGTTGGTCTTTATCTTGTCGTCCTACGTGCTGCTACCTTTTTTAGAGTTTAAAGATGCACTCGACCACTCCCACCTCGTTTTGGAATCGACAGCGTAGAATGCTTAATTTCTTCGCATTGATTATTATGTCAATTCGACAATCCATGAATGAGCAGAGCGCCGTATAAGATGCAACGTGTGTGCACTAACTGACGAGTTCGCCATTCGAACAGTTTTGAGCTTATTTTTTAAAGCTTTGATCTGAGCTTGATGTTTACTCTGCATCGCAAAAATGAGACTTGTAATGCTGCGTTTTTTCTACATCATTGCAAACGTACGTGCGATGCTGCCTCCCGATTTTCGTGCTGAGACTTCCATCTCGTTAAGAAAAAAAAAGACTGGTGATGTTGCAAATAATTCATTCCCTTTCCAAGAGGTCATAATTCTGGCCAAACTCCACTCAGCGACAATGTGATGCAAAATGTAGCGTCGGCAGCGTCTTTGAAAGAAATTGTCGGATGATCATTTGCAGTCGTGTTCACAACTGCTCATTAGTCGATCTTGTAAGAACTTTGTAGGTTGTAATACCTTTGTAGGTTGAGAGTCCCGTTAGCAGTATTTTTTGTCCCTTTCTATGAGTTTGTTGTTGCAGACAAGTTTTTAAGCACCAGCGCTGGTGGAAACAATCAAACTGAAGCGCGGTCACGTAAAGCTTCAATGCCTCTTTGAAAGCACTAAAAGAACGATTAAGGAGCTTTATGTTTCGTTTGCTCTTGTCACATACGGTTGCTCGATAAAAAAATAGAGCCCGATCTACTCGCTCTGAGCCAGCTAAGTCCGAAAAAATGTCGTTGATATTAGCGCGAGCCTTCTTTCTCTTCAGAATGGTCTTCGATTTCCTCATAATTTGAACAATTTTAACCAGCTTCACAGACACTGCTGTTTGTTGGCTATCTACGCGACGATATTTTATTGCCGCCAAGACGCGATTGTGCATCGCAATCTCAAGCGTCGTCAGTGATATTATCTCTTATAGAGCCGGATCGTAGAATGCTCATTCAGCATTTGATGTACAGATAGATCAATACTATAATGTTGCCCTGTCGACAAGCGTACATATTTTTAAGCTTCACTCGAGTTGGATGATGGAGGAGCTTACAGATCGTGTACCGTTTCGCAGTAAATTTGCATATGGACAATGTCACAACCGGTTTCGTGTATCTGCATTATGAAGGTCGAAATCCGCGCTTGCGTCCGAGAAATAATTCCCGGCCTTTCTACATCCGTCAAATAGCTCAACATACTCAAGTGTATTTTCGGTGCCAGTCTGATCATTGGCAACTGTAGTGTATTTCACGTATCCTTGCTACCTTGACTGTAGAATGATCTATCTGTACTTAGACACACTCGTTCTCTGATTTTTCTACGGCGAGAAGAGATGATCGAAGTCAAATCTTCTTCAACCAGACGTGGTTCCAGCACAATGAGAGGTCGAACTGCAAGTACAGTTGACGTGGACGTTGCTAACCCAACAGAGGTAACATTGAATCCATTGCTGCTGCATTACTATAAGTTTTGTCTACAAAGTAACTTGGATCACCTCGCTGAACGAAACAGTCGTCACTGCTGCTGCTAAGGTTACTGTTAGCGCTAAAGCATCCAAAACGTCGTGCATCCACGTTCTCACCAAGAAAAGAAGCAAATCGATTGATAGCTCGATGACATCGCGGACAACGTCATACGGATACAAAAACTGGTGATGTGCTGTGAACATTTGTACTCGAATTCGCTACGTGTGAAGCAAGTATCGATACTGATAGGTAGCCAAGGTTATAGCGGCGGTAGCGATCGAGATGTCTGTAAGCGCGCGGGCGATTCGATCACCTTGGCCATGTTTTTGAAGATCGTTTCGCTTGATTATCCAGAAGCCGCCATATTCAACCCATCATATTACCACTCAAATCTCTCAAATAGCCATAACGTAAAGGCCGTTTAAGGCTAAGGCGTAGAGCCAATTTATGTGCCACTGCCGATCGAGCTGAAAAACAGCCATATTTTGAGACAGCGACCTCGGCATTGTCAACATAAGATTTGCTCTCATTATATGGCGCACTTGCTTATCCTTACTCAATGCAAAATGCCTTGCATAAAAGGCCTGATGATGATAAAGAAAGTCGCCATTTGTTTCGTTACATCTCGAGTTCGTCCATGTATTATTTTCAAGAATTCTGCGATATCGGAACATCAGCACGCTCACAATGTTCTTATGCTAACGCTCCCGCCGTATTCTTTATCGTGGCATTCTGTACTTGTTCTGTTGCTTCGCTAAATCACCATCGAAGACATTCGCTTTGCACTAGTCGCTTTTTGGCAACTATTTTTGCTTTGATCCTCGACATTTTTGTTGCAATAGCAATGAGAGATTGTGACTGAGGTTCCAAGCTTCCAGGAATCAGTCGCAACAGCTAAATCGCGTTTTCGATATCCCACACTCGCACCGAACCATCCCAGGAGCCAGAATACACGAGAGAATCCTGCATTTCGAGACAAGTTAGGCCCGAGAAATGCGCCTGCTTTTCACGAAGGCATAAGCCCGATAGCAAATTCCAAATTCGAAGCCATCCATCTTCTCCCGCCGATACAAGCTTTGTAAAATCACGCTGTAATCGCGTCACTGGACCCATGTGCCCACTAAGCGTCAGACGTGGGCCACGCTGCACGTACCGAAGATCCCAAACTCGAACTTGACCATCTGCTGAACCTGCACAAATCGTTGGATCTGCTGGTCCTCCCAAAATCACACATTGAACAGGACCACCATGTCCACGCAGCTCCTGCACGGCTTGCATTGTGTGTCCACTTCCGCGAAATGCTGTATCCCAGACCTTCACAACGCGATCATTTGCCGCTGTCACAAGTCGGGTGCCCGATACCTGCAAGTCGCGGATACCTGCTTGATGAGCCTCGACATTGACTTTTAACTTGCACACTGCGAGATCCCAAATCTGCACTGTTCGTCGGCGATAACCCGTTGCCAGATCATCGTCACTAGCCAGCAAACGTAAGCAACTAACCCCGCCGTTGTCAGCTGGCTTGCCGGTTGACCTGTGTCCACTTAGCAACGCCACACTACACTCTTTTGTTGTATCCCAAAGCCGAACCGTACCATCGTCAGAGCCAGACGCCAACAAAGAGCGACCAATTCCAAGCTGATGCCCAAGTTCCATACAAGAGATCGCAGCCAAATGCCCACGCATAACAAGACTCCGCTTTGATACTGTAGTACCATCGACTTCATAGTCTTCTTTCGAAGACAGAGTGTTGCTACTTTTGGACGACATGGAGAAAAAAGATAGCATGTCTCGTTTTTTCGGATTTCCACGCAAGTCCCATGCACGTAATGTGTTATCACGAGATCCCGAAATCAGTGCATTTCCTCGCATCCGTATGGTCACCACAGCATCACTATGACATTCAAGTCGAATGCCTTTTTTGTCTTCTGACGGATTAATATCGACAACGTTGACGTGAGCATCAGCCAATCCTAAGGCTGCACGATCGTTATTGATAGCCAAACACAGCACGGGTGAACTTGATGTTGCCAATAACGCACTTGAAAATACTGCGCTAGACCTTCGACGAGTAGGCGGTGTCCTACTCATCCAATCTGCCGCCTGCTGATTGCCACAGCTTTTGAGGTCATCGCTACAATACTCTTTTCTTGCCTGGGCAATGGAAGGCGTCTCACCTACCGATATTTTGCGTCTAATGACAGTGTTCAAATCATACTCGCGCGATAGCACAGGACTCTCTGCAAAGGCGGACATCACTGAAGAGGGAGCAGAAGCAGGATAAAGCTCGGTCTTAGATGCCAGAGCAAGCGATGTCTGGCCAAGTGACTTCGTGCTCATTCTGGGTAAAATAATACCTTCAGACGGAGACGATTTGATAATCTTAGACATATCGAGAGCACGGTATACATTTTCTGCAAGTTGCTTCAAAGTTTCCAACAAGTCTTCCTTTTGATATGTTGAGCTCATGACAGTGACAAAAGTCTGGACTTTTTTAAGTGGCACCTCAAAATTAAGCATATCGTACACCAAACTACCAGTCACAGTAAAAAAATCTTCGTCTTCCACAGTCCCCTGATCTTCTCCATCAGACTCGGCCGGGTTTGCTTTGTTAATATCGCCGATATCGCAAGTAAAAGCGTGTTGCCATAATTCTAGCGATCGGCAAATTGGCAGTAACCGCAATGGCGTCACGAGATATTCCTTCTTTGCTGTGCGAATATACAGCAATGCTTGTTAGGAGTCAATTATAGTCGATACACACTCATCGAGAACCGTACCAAATCCGATACCACTCTGCTTGTCCTCCACGTAGTGATAGTATTGGGATGCAACCTGTAGAATACCACGAGCGGTCGTGAAGTCTTCTTGGGCCGCACATTGATTCATCACTGCGGTTGCTAACCTCGCAAGCAACCGAAATCCAGCGGTACCAATGTAGCTTCCCGAGCCCTTTGGATTGTACCATGCTGAGGAAGACCTGATACCGCTTGTCTTTAAAGACCCCTTCACGCATTCTACGTATTGGTTGTTCGGCTGCATTAAAATCAAAACGAAGAGATCACGTGCGATAATACTTTTAAAATGTGCCTCGCAAGCCTAGAAACCAAAATCAAACGTTAAAGAATTTTCTTTTGAGCACAAATCATGACAATGTAGCTCAGCTTTTACCCGAATTTCTGACTCCGTAAGCGAGTCATCAGATGTAAACACTGCAGTCAAGGTTTTGTGTAGCACTTGCGCGAATCGTTCGTTGTCTGATGAAACAAAATGATCGCTAGAACCTGTTGAATTTGCAACGGCAGCCGCGATTGTGCTATCAAAATGAAGACGATACTGGTTCACCTGATGCGCATTCTGCAATAATCGAGCGTTTGCTTTCAGCAAATTAGGCTCCACTCCAATTTTATGTCCTAAAATCTCGTGGTCTAATTTTCGTATCGACTTTGATGAAGGTGCAGTCAGAGCTTCGATATCACTCATCTCCATCGCAAAAGGAGTCCAAGAAACTGAGCTTTCCTCATCCAGTAACTTTTCGATTGCCCTGCCTAAAGTATTCAAGGATTCGTGGCAATTAAAGTCAAGCTCCTCACAACAGCGTGCATCTGTATGGAAAATTTTGCTTGAACTCCCGCTTTCGCTTTTAAAATCATCATCATTTTCAAAACTGTAACTGGGGTCATCGCTGACAAGAATCGGTATATCCTCTCTTACTGGTCCTGTATCTAGCAGCAAATGCTGGCTTTTCGAAGCCCGAATTAGATTTGACCACTGCAGATCTTTTGGTTCGCGACAGAGCGTGATGTACACGAAATGAAATACGCTAAGCTCAGGTGAGCTGTGATTTTCAAGAAACGACTGGAAGGCTTGCGTACTGAAAAGTCGAGTCACCAACGGAATAACTTCGCCGTCTACGGATTCACTTTCGAAAAATCGGCGTTTGTTAAAAACTGGTAGTTTTTGATTCACGAAAAAGAGGCAGTCACGGTATCCTTGCATGAGCGCAGAAAGAAAGCACACAAACTCCAAACGAACCTGCTTCTCAGTATCACTACCCCACTCGAAGGTAAGACATTGCTCTTTTTCACCGTCTTGTCTTGAGTCCCCGAGCCTCTCATCGATTGATATATGATTTTTCTCCTTACTATCCACGAGCTGAACGGATTCAATTTCTTTGTAAGACGATGTATGCAAAATCATCTTCAATCTTTGACAAAGTGCTGTTGTCAACTTGTGCGGCATAACAGGTCCACCAACTTCCTGTAATTGGATAGTTCCACGATCGATATCGACCACTACGAGATACTCTGGTCGGCTATTTTCAATCAGACTTTGAAGCCAACTTGAGTGAATGCCCAGTATATAAGGCAGTGGAGCTTGAAGGTATTCTGATAGCACTCGGGGTAGAATGGGCACATACGGATGTTGCCACCGGAACGGATAGATGAGCGTACACAGACCCTCACATACTGGACACAAAAGAGACTGCTGGGTACTGTGAATAAGTATCCGGTACTCACAAAGAACGAGTACCACAAGGTAGATAATGGACTTGATATCAAAAAGTTGAAACATAGGCTTTAAGGAATAAACGCTCGGCTGAAAGCCCTGTTGAATCGCATTGAAGCTTCGTTGTCTGGTAGTGGGAGATGCTTGTTTCGCAGAAGTCGATGCGATTCGCCGCAGTTCCTGTTGCGCAGTCTCCTTAATTGTGTAAATAGACGTTATGGAAGGAACCAAGAGTCGAACTGTTGAGTTATTTATCGCAAATTGAACGCCAAAAACACCTCGGATGGGAAGCGTAATTTCGTGACAAAGACGTAAAAGCTGAATTTGTGTGTATGCCAGTCGGGATACGTCGACACCCTCAACAACATTCGTTTGTCGATTCGCTGCCATCCAAGTTTGCGCCACAGCAAATAAACATGTGCTTATCTCTTTTATAAGTGGAATCCGAGTCACAAACGCCAAACATGATCCATGCCAGTTATTCTTTTCAGTCTCGCTACTTGCAGAACGATGATGGTATACGATAAGGCACACGACATATGACCTGCAAAGACCATCATCACCACCCACAAGAACAAACGAAAACAGTTTGCTGTGGGGTCTTTCAGTCTGAGTGATAATTTCAGGTCCATTGGGAAAGCAGAACCACTCAATTTTAGTCGGCAAAGGAAATTCGTGTCGATCTGTAGGAGGATATCGAAAGCGAACGTGCGCGCCATTCAAGCTTGCGCGAGCATTACTATGCTCTGCACCTTCCACCACAATGACATAGTCAATTACGCCCGACTCAAGAGATATTGCCGTGGTATTTGTCATCTCTGTGCGCAATGATTTCGACACGGGAGATGCCGATGAGATTTCCGTTGCTGAAGAGGGCGAAAGTACGGATGTAGGCGTAACTCGCCTCCTTGTTGGACTATGTGTCATTACAACGGCTGGTACTTCATTCGGATTGAAGAGCAGAGAAACTCGCAAGGCAGTGCGCAGCGCTAAAGACGATTCAACACGAATAAGCGAATACCACTGCTCCACTGGCTGCCCTACTGGAAGCCGTACGAGCGGTACTGTCACTACCAGCAATAAAGAATCATTAGCAGTGCGCCATTGATAGGATCTGTATCTGAGCAATTTATTAACTACGAGACAATAATCAACTCCTCACCTTTGCCAATCAGTCCCGGACTTGACATCACATCACTTTGTAGTGGTAAACTCGCATATGTGTCATTCCTTACTCGATCTACAAGGAAAAGCACCAATTCGTCGCTGGATGTCACACTTTCCAGGTGAAACTCCTAAGCAACATACAATTGAACTTTAAATCTACATTTTGAGCCATTGTGCCACACGCCATGACGTCACCTCATCCCAGCATATTGCGCTAGACCACGGACGTGCTTCCGTGGCTAGCACTTTCGACTTTGTCGTCTGCAGTAACACACAGATCATGTTTGGTCTTGCATGATGCTCCATGTTTTGATGTTGTAACGGATTTCGAAATGGAAGGTGGAGCCAAGATGAAGCCATTATTGAACCATTTTCAGCTGCTTGTGGGGCCGGTAAATCGATTGCTTGCAATACTGCAAGCCAAGCGTTAAAATACGGTGTTTTACAAATTAGATTACGAGACCACACCTCGAATGCGCAAACTACCAACTACGATCTGGCCCGAATTTGCCACCACCTTCTCAGATGCACTGGCTAATGCAGCGCACATAGGAGATATATGCACTGGCATATTGCTGACCGCGCTCATGGGCGTTTTACTGTGATGTGATTGACTTTTCAAAGAAGTATATTCGTACTTATCGATAAAATCCTGCAATATATTTCAAGACTGCAACATCCAAACGTGGTACAAATTCTGCAGCGCCTTGCAATGACTGTCGAAGACGATGATGACTTGTGAGAGCTGCAACTCGAGTAGCGCTACATCAAGCAAGTGAGCATGGAGCACTGTGGCTATCGCTCCTTTCGCCAGCTATTATTCACCGAATTAATCACGTTTTTTTCGAAACATTCCGAGAATTCTAAATCCGCAATCACTACTTCATCTTAAAGGCAACACTAGTGTTGGCTCAGCGATTGTCTAGGCCAACTATAAGTAAATGTTAATTTGCTTAATTCCCTCACCCTTTGCGTTAGCGCTCTTCTTGTGACATCGTTGCCTTACGTGCTCATTCCATCGCTCAGCTGGGCAAGGTTTCAGCTCTTAATTCTAGTACACATGCTATTAAGCTTGAAGACGAGCAAGTTTTGTCTACTTTGTCATTAGAAATAAATTCTGCCCTCTCATAGTGTCCGCTCCGGCTATTTGTCAGACTTCATCATCTTGATCTTTATAGCGCGGCAGTTTTATTGCCATCTGTTTACTATGTCGCACCAAACCTAATTTTAAAGTGTGCGTTAAGAATTGTATTTTTAACGAAGGCATGCTACACGGATTACAAAAGATAGCCGGGAATGTTGATTTATCGCATTTTCTAATATATTTTTTTACATGATTTTACTCCTCTGTAGCTTGCTTAAATACAGCGACGCGATTAGAAAACGCTAGGGGTACTTCAAACGCAGTCCGATAGCAAAGCCCAAAATGCGAGTCGGAGATTATAGCAATTCAGCCTCTAACGCAAGCCGTGACGCTCGGGGGAATCGACGTACCGCCAAAAATAAGAGACCACACGAGAGGAAACCGCTGGAGGGTCGACCTCCAGTGGACTGAGGGGGTAATCGACCTTGGTTGGTAGATGTAACAATTGGTTTATGGAGACGAGCGGGGCTGTTGACATCAAGATCACGAGGAGGCGGGTTTTCACCTTAGCGTCCAGACTATACTTTTAATATTGATTAGTCAAGCATGAGACGACGTTCTGATCGAACATTCCCATGCTTATTGCAGCGGGGCTGCCGTAGCTTATCGCTTGAGAAAGCGTAATTTAGGTCACCGATCTTTCGTTCTATG